TCAGTTTTTGTAGCAGCTGCACTGCAATATAGAACAAGGTGGTAAAGAACAAATACAAAGATTCACAGACAAAAACAAGATGGGCTATATTCCAACATCATACAGAAGTCTCGGGCGATCAACTGAACTTACACATAATACCGGCAAAACGCTTGTAAGTCCTCGGAATACGAACATGTGGCTTAACTTCAAAAAGAACACCTTTATTTGTTTTCACATATACAGCTCTCAACCGCCCAGCCTTATTCAATGGGCTATCTAAGATGGATAGGAGAGCCTGAAATTATCAACAACAACACTGATACAAGGGCCAGACTATTTCAAACAAGGTAACCCTGCTCCGAGTAACTTTGATACTGTTTGGCCTGCTAATGAAAGACAGTCCTGGGAATGGTCTCACAAACATCGTGACTCCGGAATCTGACTGCTAGTAATAAAATGCACTAACCTGATAAATAATGTCAGGTCTGTAATCAGCAGGATTTTTTTTATTCCTCCTCAGGAAATTGGCATGCTCCTCAGAATTCAAAATCTGATAATTCTGTACAAACAAAACTAGTCAGATGAAAACGAAAACATTCCAACTAGGTGATAAAACCCCACTTCATGAAAACCCCCAAAAACCAAGACTTCAAAAATCCACTCTCTCAGCCCTAAACCCACATTCAAAACATTGCCCCAAACCTCTAAATCACTACTAAAAAACCCACACCAAGCCATACAATGATTCTAATACGTTACTTGTAAACCAAAAGTTGAAATGAAAAGTTAGTCTTTAGACCTTTCCAACTTTTGCAACTTCCAAAGAAGCCTTTTCGAGCACGAATATAACCCCAGGTTTCTTGCCAGTTTGATGACTTGGGACAATAGGAATGCCCTCCTCCACTCCTGGCAGTTGCATTTCTTTTTCCTCTTCTGTTTTTTCTTCGCCATCTCGAGCACTCATTTCAGTCTCACTATCAGTTTTCTCTTCTTGAATTTGCTCATCTTCCACTTCCTCTTCTTCTTTATCATACCTCTCCCCTTTCTTCCTTCTCTTGTGCCCTTTACCATAAGGCCTCACCATTTTCTTCACTCACAATAACCTTATCCTTCACCCTGAAAAACAAAAGGAAAAACGACTCAAATTTGCAAAATCAACCCAGTTACTCATTAAAGAAAGAGAGCTAAAACTTTCTCGAACAAGAAAAAACACATCTGTGTATAGAAGAAAACCGTTAAATAATCTAAAAAGAGAACGTCAGTTGCACCCAAAGAAAAAGTTGGCCAGAGAGAGTTGAAGAGGCAAAAAGATGAGAGTGGTTAGGACATGTTAAGGTTTTAGGAGCGGAGAGGTAGTAGTTGAAGCAGATGAGTAGATATTCTTAGGGTTTATTGGTGGGCCTAGCTTCCGTGTTCAGGCTCACAAAGTTTTTCTTGAAAATGGCTTTGGGTTATTCTTAGGGTTTATTGGTGGGCCTAGCTTCCGTGTTCAGGCTCACAAAGTTTTTCTTGAAAATGGCTTGAGCTATATTATTAAGCCTTGGGCTTGACTCTAGTTAAATTTCATCTTTTTTTTTTGGTCTTACAGGTTCCTTAGTATTCCATTTCCACCCCTGTTCTTTTAATTTTGAGATTTTTACACCTCCACCCCTAACCATTAAACATCATATGGGTTCTTTTTTAACATTTTAATTAGTTTTTCGAGATATTAAAAAATATATAAGGATTTGAGAGGAAAAATACTAAAATAATAATAAAGTAGGAAAAAAAATATGAAATATAAAATGTTTACTTATGTAGGAGTAAAGTGTAAAATTGAAACTTTTATAAACCTATAGGAATGGTATTGAAAATTTTGAAGTATGGGACAAGATAGGTGAAAGATTGATGAATTTATGAAGATATTTTAAAAATATTTTACCCAGAGCTACCGATATGCATATTAATTAAATAAATTGATAGTTACTTTGAGAATAATACATTTTTTGAAATTATTAACTAAATAAATAATATTTACTCATGATCATAAGTTATGGGGTGAACAATTCAATCCAAATTAATTTAAAACAATATTATTTTAATATTTTATATATTTTTAAAAAAATAATATTGTTTTAATTTGTCAATTCAAGTTTTACCTGGTTTTTTTCAGCAAGATAACTAGATCACAGGTTGACTCAATCAAGTCAACCCCCTTACTTAATATAAACCTTGGTTTCAGAAAGGTTTTAGTTTGATAGATAACTGGATTGAATCGAGTTTAATAACACTAAATAAATAACCTTTCCAGGCTTTAGGAATCATCAGGTGACGCAGGGAAAACATTATCACCTTGCCTGCAATCTAAATCATTGGAAATCTCTTAAGACTCAACATTGCTATGATATGTAAATCTATGTGTTAGCAGCTAGTGACGAGGGAGAGAAATGGAGCGTGGGGCCGCGGCAACTTTTCTGCCATGGGAGAGTTCTACTTAGAAGGAATAGAATTCTGGTATTAGATGAGGCAACTGCTTCCATTGACAGTGCAACAGATGCGATTTTACAAAGAAAATAGGGCAAGAGTTCGCAGGATGCACTGCGATAACAATAGCTCACAGAGTTCCTGCAGTTGTAGACTGACGTTCGGTGAAGTTTCTCTTTCAGTGGAATCCACTTAAGGTTATTTATGGATCGATAAATATCATTAATTGATAATAATCCAAAAAAATCTTCAATTAGGATTTTTGTGTAGTTGCCATATTTTACAAAATTCTTATGAAATCCCTCAGCTGAACTCAGCCACATAAAAATCCGTTGTTGTTATTTTCTTGATTCATCACACTGTAGAAATAAAACTTTATTACCATGTATTATTTTTATTTTATTTTTATATAAAATGATAAAATAGAATAGAAATAAATGATATAAAAAAAGCTTTTATATATTTCTTGGTCAATAAAAAATTAATATTTAAAATAAAATATTTAAAATATTTTGTTATAAATATGAGATTCTATCAATAAATATTAATCAATAAAATTGTATCATGTAATATTTTAAAAAAGCCGAGAACTTTTACAAATCTTTATAAATAAAAAGTCTCAACCTAGAAAAAAAAGAGAAAAAATGAATTTTTAAAGCTAAAAATTATCTTGGAGGCCATTTTTTAAGAAAAAAACTCTCTTTTCAACCAAGAAGGTTTTTTTCAAAAGTTCTTTAAGTTTTGTTAGATGAAGTCTAAATATTTCATAATAATTCTTCAATAATATTTTTAAGATAAATTAAAGATATTTTTTATAGTATCAAATCATCAAATTTTACTTTTCAATACATACTAAAATTCAAGTTCTTGTAAAGCACAAATTTTGATTTGATTTCACAAATAAATCAAATTATTATATATCAAATTTAAAAAAGAATTAGAGGATTATCTTATTTTTTTTGAAAGAATATTTTAGATAAAAATTATACCCAATTATATATTTAATAAAACTATAAATTTATATGCCTATGTTTATTTAATTTCAATACTCAGAATTATAACTAAACACTAACTGATATAGCTTCGAATGTAAGATATGAACAATATTTAACACTGTTACTCCTCCCCAGATGGTAATGTAATGGACAAAGGCGGTTGGGTCTTCTCGGCATTTTCTCTTTGTTATCTGCATGTTAATGGCTGTTCTTCACTGGTTGGATATTGAGGAAGGGAAGGAAGAGAAGCTTGAAAGATAACAACAGTTCAATTATATAAGAGACAGAATTTTAAGGAGCAAAATAGTTGCTGAAAAATAATTCTAATAATGTTTGCCTCATAAATTTACAATTTTTTTAAATAAATCAGAAAACTTCATTTAAAAAAATAAAAAATCTAAAGGGATAAAGAAAATTAACACAGAATCTAAAATAAAACAATAAATCTTAAATAATCTAGAAAAAATAACAAAATTGATTCAAATAACAACTTATTTGCTTAATTTTGGGAAATTCAATGGTCCAGTAAACAATAAAGTGATTTTTCAAAGTGGAACAACTCGAAATATTTAAGCCCAAGTAACTATTGGATCTTCTATTATCATATTTTTAAGTTATCATTCTGATTTGATTGTCTTATTAATTCATAAAAAACAAATATCAGCCTATTCAAATATTCTAGCATATATTCATCCAGTTGTGGGAGATACTATCAAAATGCTCATGAACTTCAGTTTCTGCAAACCCAACAGCATCATCACATCTATTTAGTTCCTGTATCTCTGGAGAGAAGATGAACTTGTTACAAGGTAAAGCAGGCATGAGAACAAGGAGAATAATATCCCATTGTCCTCCATCATGTTTCTCTGTATCTGTGGAGAGAAGAACTTATTACAAGGTAAAGTAGGCATGAGAACAAAGAGAATAATATCCCATTCACCCCAAAAGAGGAAAGTCAGGACAGAACAAAATTCTAATCCTGCTGACTTCAGCTGAAGAAGCTTTTTTTAAGAAGCCGCAACAATGTGCTCCATAACAAGGTTTAGAAAGCCTTATTTCGTTCCACTAACGTTGTTTCAAAGTGAAGTGGTTCATAAAAGTTTCTAGAACAGCAGAAAACATTCTTCGCCTCCATCCTACTCAGACAGCATAAGATCAGTGTTTCCTATAAATTAATATTAGGTGTCATGTGCTCACTCCATTGATATTTAATCATGCATATATAGGAATTATATAAACTTAGTGCTATCTCCACTAGCATCCAATACTGCAATGGTGTTTACATATGCATTAGCTTTGGCATATCAGGCATGTTTGTCTGGATTACACTATACGGTGCTTCTCTGACTCCACTTGCCATTAATTCAACTGTCTCATATAAAATACCTTGGATTTTGATGGCATATGTTTGCCTGCGTTTACCTACACTTGCAATATTGAATTATCTCAGTTTTGTTATGATCTCACTGTCTTGCATCCCTTTCCTCCTCTT